GTTGGAAAGGAGGGGGGGGGGTACTGAGAAAAGTGACCATCGTTACAAGATTTTGAATAATCCTTCTTTTGATACATTCTTGTTTCTTAAAGTTTGCCACGGTGTTGTAAGATGTATGAGCCTACGGCACGAGACAGGGGGCTCCAGTAGTCTAGAGCTACCGTGTTCGCCTCTCTGTCAAAAAGTTCCTGGATCAAAACTTTCTAGTGATGAAAAAAACACAAAGTATTCTCTAAAATTGTCTCCTTTGTCCTTCTATCCACTTTTCTAAATCCTGTTCCGGCATCTGCTTTCATCTTCACTTCCCCCCTCCCCACCTCCGTCTTTTTCCACCCCCACCCCTGACCTATTCTGGGATTTTCTCTGCTTTACTCCTTTCACTCCTGGCTCTTTCTGCTGCTACTCCTGACTCTTTTTACTGCTACTCCTGACTCTTTCTACTGCTACTCCTAACTCTTTCTATGAGTCTTTCTATTGCTACTCCTGGCTCTTTCTATGAGTCTTTCTACTGCTACTCCTGGCTCTTTCTATGAGTCTTTCTATTGCTACTCCTGACTCTTTCTATTGCTACTCCTGACTCTTTCTACTGCTACTCCTGGCTCTTTCAACTGCTACTCCTGACTCTTTCTATGAGTCTTTCTATTGCTACTCCTGACTCTTTCTATTGCTACTCCTGACTCTTTCTATTGCTACTCCTGACTCTTTCTATGAGTCTTTCTACTGCTACTCCTGACTCTTTCTACTGCTACTCCTGGGTCCTTCTTACTGATATCTTTCAGCCATGCCTAACCTTCTCGGAATAGGGTGGGTGGAAAAATCTCGGAGGTCCTATGTGCAATTGGTGAATGTCATTAATCCCTCGGTGATGCTTAAAATGATCTGAATAGGTCTCGGCCGCTACCCAGTCAAAACTCAAAATTAATCCCTACGAAAATCTGAAATACTAAAGTCGGCATTAAACAGTACTGTTGGTATCGGAAGGTGGCTGCCAGAAGACAAGAGGCACAACGAAGTAGGAAAAACGGTCACCTACTTATGATGAGACGAAGAACCAGTGGTCGACTGGCCTTGGTAGGAGCGTATTGGCCTCGAGATCTAACAGGTTGAAAAACCAGTAGTCGACTACCCTTGGGATCAAGCAGGGGAACAAACAGAAAATTCCACAAAAGACATTCCAAAGTGTGACTTTTCCCTTAACGCTTCCCGTCTACACATCATCCCCAGGCACTCCTCACACGTGCACATTTGACAGCGGCTACTGTGACTGGACACAGACTGATCGGGACTCTGGTAGAAACATGCAGTGGACCAGGGGTCAAGGAATGACCGCGACCAGAAAGCTTGGGAGCTTAGAGACTGGCCCGAGAAATGACCACACCTTGAAAAATAATAAAGGTGAGCTTTAGGATCCATGCACACTCTGCCCAACTACATTTTAAGAACATCCTTCCGCAAAGTTATTCTTATTTCGATATAGGTGGGGTGATACCTTTGTCTCTCTGTTCAGTACGGGTACAAGATTGTTTCTGATCGTGGCGTTTACTTCAGGATACTTACGGGCTGCTGTAGCAGGAGTGACCCTTTGTGAAGAAGAATGTGTTAGGTTTTATTTTTCTTTGTTTTTCTTCTTTTTAACAAACGGGTGCACTTCTCCCTCCCTGCAAAATCAGATCTGTCCCTACATGTTTTGTTTTTGTTAATATATTAAGATTTGGGAAGGAAATATATTGAATATTTGTGTCTGTAAGTCAAAGTTAAACTTTTCAGGGGGCTTCAAACGTAAAATTCAGTATTTGCCTCCCAGGCTATTAAATTACTCCCAGTCCCCCACATTGCCAGAAGCCTCTCCGCACAACACACACACACACACACACACACACACACACACACACACACACACACACACTCACACACACGCGCGCGCGCGCGCACACACACACATAAACACACCAACTCTTTAATAAAATGATTACATCAAGCAAAAATGAATGATAAATGATCCAACACTGACACCTGTGTCAATGTGTTTGTGTGTTTTCTTACACATGTGGCTATGTGTATGTTTGTTTTTTGACACATGTGTCAATGTGTATAATATATGATTTCTGAAAAATGTGTCAATGTGTATGTGTGTTCTCTGACACATATGTGTGTTCTCTGACACATATGTGTGTTCTCTGACACATGTGTGTGTTCTCTGACACATGTGTTTATGTGTATGTGTGTTCTCTGACACATGTGTTTATGTGTATGTGTGTTCTTTGACACATATGTGTGTTCTCTGACACAGGTGGCTACGTGTTCGTGGAGACATCAGGGAAGTCAAATCACGAGTACGCTGACCTTCTCAGCTCTGAACTTTCCCTCTCGGTGACCTTGACTTTCTGGTAGGTCACTGACTAGACAGTGATATGTTGAGAAAGTATGCTCTTATCTGATCGTTTTGTTTTTGTACGAGTTTTACAGCACTTGCAACACAATAAGGTCATATAGATGCCTAGGATTAGACGATGGTGAGGGATCTATCTCTATCTATCTATCTATCGATCGATCTATCTATCAATTTGTCTATCTATCTATCTATCTATCTATCCATCTCTTTATATATATATATATATATATATATATATATATATATATATATATATATATATATATATATATATATATACATATGTGCGTGTGTGTGTGTGTGTGTGTGTGTGTGTGTGTGTGTGTGTGTGTGTGTGTGTGTATGTGCGTGTGTGTGTGTGTGTGTATGTGTGTGTGTGTGTGTGTGTTTTAAACGACTTGTGGAAACAGTTTCTTAAATCGGTACGTCGCATTGAGTCGACAACCTTGCGGGAATCTTGTGTGATTGAGCAGGATATGTCAATAGATCTTGTGTGATTGTGCAGGAATGTAAATCACGGCAAAGGTTTTTGCAGGAACAACTTTCTGAGCCGCAGTCCGATTCGTCTGCTCCTGGTGGTTAGATACTCCCGATTTCATAACTTTAGGATAATTTTGGGTTGTGAGTTTCGTCGTTCGCTAAGGGTCACCCATTTGTCTTGCTCAAAGACCATTCACAAATCTACCATGTTTTCTCTCCGTTTCTGTTGCAGGTATTCTTTCCACGGACGAGAAATGGGGTCACTTCAAGTGTTGGTCTGGAAGACAGGGGAAAACTACATCTCAAGGTCCACCAAACCTTTGTGGTCAGTGGACACTGACCAGGGCGACAAGTGGATCGAGCAGTCGCTGACCATTCCAAAACCAGGAGATAAATACAAGGTATGGACTACACTCAAATCCTGTTTGTAGCGGAGGACAAGAAGTTTCAGAAAACAACCACTTTATCATCTTTTATTACACCAGTTGGAGAAATAGGAAGACTAGAAATCCCAGAAAATAATCACTTTATCATCTTTTTTTAGTAAAGTTTTTATGGCGCTCGCAACTGCGTAAGGTCATATGAGCGCCAAGGGATGGGTGTCAACAGAGAAGTCCAAACGGGGAATCAGGCTTACTCTGCTCACCTCTCTAGCCTCAACAGCACAAAGTCTGCTTCGACTGACTATCAAAACACCCCGGAAATAGCAGTTCACAAAAGAGTGACAAACATATCCAAAAAAAGTAGAGGGAAAATGACGATAGTATGTTGTTCCGGCACAGTATGAGCTTGACATTAATAAGTCCATTTACAATTCTACTGTGCAAAAGAACATGTTAATATCCTTTCTTTGGGAATGGTCTAAAGACACGTCAGTCTGTAGCACTGTCCTGGAGAGGGGGGGGGGATTACCACCTTCTAATACAAAAGTGGAACTAAAGCGTTCTGTAAAGTTGTCGATCTTGATGAAGGGAGAGAAAGTGGAAGAGTAAAATGAATACCAATGAGTTTTGAAGCCTTCCCAAAAAGTAAGAACTTTTTTGGAAATGTGTATTTATCAAGAGACAGGTGTTTGTTTTTGGTTAATGAATTCAGAGGGAAACTAAAGGCTCTCTCTGGGATTTCCGACCCTGAAATCCAAGATGACAGTGTTCTAGAGACAAGCAAAATGTGGAACAATGTGAAGATAGGGAAGCCATCCTTCCTCCTTGATGTGTGTATAGCAAAGATCACTTGACGCAGTAGCGGCCATAACACAGTGGGAAAATGTCGTCTTGGTCAATCGCGTCATTTAAAATGTCAACTGAGAAAATCTGTTCCAGATAGAAGATAGAAATTATTATTCAAATGTTTCTGTATAGGAACAGTTTTGGTGTGTGTTTGTGTGTGCATGTGTGTGTTTATGTGTGTGAGTGTGTGTGTGTGTGTGTGTGTGTGTGAGAGAGAGAGAGAGAGAGAGAGAGAGAGAGAGAGAGGTAGACAGAGAGGGAGAGAGACACAGAGAGAGAGAGTAATTGAGTGACGCTCCTCCCCCTCAGAGGGAGAGAGAGAGACAGAGAGACAGATACAGAGCGAGATAATGGAGTGACCCTCCTTC